TCTTAGAGAAGCTAAATAAGAAGGAGAACCCAAAGAAAAACATATAGGCATCCTCCTGAATATTAACCTTCATCAGGCGATGAAAGGTGACAGAGACAGAGACCCACATTAGAGCACCAGACAGAAATCTCAAGGTCCAAATCAGGAGCAGAAGGAGAGAGAGCACAAGCAAGGAACTCAGGACCGCGAGGGGTGCACCCACACGCTGAGAGAATGGGGCTGTTCTATCGGGAACTCACCAAGGCCAGCTGGCCTGGGTCTGAAAAAGCCTGAGTAGCTCCATTTTAAAGTAAACCACCACTTAGCTATTCAGGTCCCTAGACTGTAGTAAAACAAGCCGCCCTTTCTGTTTTCTGTGTGTGCCTTGTGTTGTCTGAGCCCAATGTCACTTCTGCTGCTTTAACACTAGGTAGTGCTCTGAACCTAGGTTTACATATATTCTGGGCTTCTCTTAGTGCTATATAAAGTGGGGGCTTGGTAAGCAGGAGTTGGAGATGGAGAGAATACAGGTCTCTGCATCACCCAGGGCTCCACGAGTCACCCATAATAAACCCATTTTACCCATGCTGTTCTAGTTTGAGGAAATATGTCAATTTTTGTATCTATCCAAAAAAAAAAATGATGCCAGGTAGCGTTTCGTTAATGAAATGTTGTTACATGGCGCAGTGATTGTGATAGTGTTTAGGTCGATCGTGGTCAAATCTGGATGATGATTCCTATAGAGATCTCTCAGCAGTCTGTCGGTTCCCTACAGTGTCGTAACACCATACAGGGACAAGAAGACGTCTGTGTGCCTCTTAAGGAGATAGCTGCTCTTTATTTATCTAATGGGAGCGGAGGTGGCCCTGGAATCTGGCAGGAGGATGTGACAGAGTTGGACAAGACTTTCTCCCCAGAGCTCTGGGATTAGCACTTTTGTCAGCTCAGTGGCAGAAATAGAACTTCAGTGAGTGTGATCAGGGGGCATTGGGGCAGGCCAGAGTGGACATGCTAGATTCGGGCTTTCTTTCTCTCTCGTTACTATATTACATTCATGTGTGTGTATAATATGCTGTCTAATATATATACTTGAGATCAGATTCCTAATCCTCATGCCTCAGCCTCCTGAGTGCCATGGCAGTGGTATGTACACACACACACACACACACACACACACACACACACAAAAACCAAAAAACTAAAAACTTTTCTTGGGGGTGGGGAATAGGGTTCTCATGTGGGTTCTGGGAATTGAACCTGGGTCCTCTGTAGGAGCAGCCAGTGCTCTCAGCCACTGAACCATCTCCCCAGTAAGTTTTTACTTTTGTTGATCTTCTGCCCTAATCCCCTTCCTCCCACTGGCTCCCTTTTTGTCCCCATTTGTCCCCAGTGGTCCCCCTTTCCCTTCTCTTTTCCTTCTCCTCTCTAACTATTTCTTAAGACCTCTTTTCCTTTTCATTGTTCCTTTGTATGTTCCTGACCTACACCCAATAAATGAAAATTAAAACCCAAGATATGAGCTGGTATTCATTTGTCTTTGTGGGTCTGGAATGTTTTGCATCATGTGATAATTTCAAGCTACACCCATTTTCTACAAATGTCATGGTTTTTTAAATTTTTTTTTCTTTAAGCAAAACCCTTTACATTTATCTATAATTTTTATTACCTTTATTTATTAGTATATGTGTGCATGGGTGTGTTTGTATGTGTGTGGGCATATATGTTATGTGTTATGGCACACATACGGTGGTCAGAGGGCAACTTGTGGGGGCCGTGTCTCTCTTTTCACCATGCAGATCCCAGGGATGGAACTCAGGGCATCCGGCTTGGTGGCCTAGCTACGGATCTTAACAACTCAGGTTTCGGTTATCACTAATTCATTAGATTTCTGATAAAAAAATGCTTATGAATCGACGATCCTGACACAAGGTCGGGAGATGATTCCAGGTAAAGAGCTCTCTGTGTAAACATGCACAAACGTGAAGTGTGAACTTGGATCTGCAAGCACCCAGGTAAAGGTGGATACGCCGTGCGGCTCACTAGCAACCCAGTGCTTAGGAGGCAGAGCAGATGGGATCCCCAGAGCAAGCTGGATAGCCAGACTAACCAAATTGGTGCATTTGGGTTCCCTGAGAGACCTTGCCTTAGTAAAATAGAGTGGAGAGTGACCAGGGCTAGAGAGATGGCTCAGCAGTTAAGAGCACTTCTGGACCTGAGTCCAGTTCTCAGCATCCATGCTGAGCAGCTCACAAGGTCCTGTAACTAGAGCTCTAGGGAATCTGGTGCCCTCATCGGGTGTCTGCACATATCCACACACATGTGGAACACACACACGCACACACACATGCATACACTTACACACACATGAATAAAAAATTGAAAAAAAAACTTAAAAAATTGGAGAGTGATTGAGGAAGAGACAGGATGTCAGTCCCTGGCTTCCATGTGCATGCACACACATGTGCACATGTGTGCACCCACCCACACCTACACTTATGCCCACACCCATGATGGGAGAGAGTCTTCTGTTTTGTGTTAATTTCATTGGTTAAATAAAGAGACTGCCTTGGCCCTTTAATAGGACAGAAAATTAGGTAGGTGGAGAAGACAGAACAGAATGCTGGGAGAAAGAAGCCTAGTCATTCAGTCGCCATGATTCTCCCACTCCAGACAGATGCAGGTTAAGATCTTTCCTGGTAAGCCACACCTTGTGGGGCTACAAACATTATTAGAAATGGGTTAGATCAATATGTAAGAGCTAGCCAATAAAAGGTTAAAACTAATGGGCCAAGCAGTGTTTATAAGAATACGGTTTCCATGTAATTATTTCGTGAAGAGCTAGCCGGGTGGTGGGAAGCAGCCCGCCGCACCTACTACAACACACCCACACACATACATCCCTACCCCACACCACACACATATACTTGTAAAAAAAATTAAAGAGATTTCAGGCTTCTCAAGGGAAGGTTCTGGTGGTCTGGCTGGAGTATGTGTGGACTTTTGATCCTATTAAGAAAAATAAGACACAGGTTTAATGTTTCTCAACACCCCCACCCCACCCCAACTTGCTAGAAGACAGCCAACAACATCTAAGTTGTGTTTGAAACCTGAGATCCGTGGTTTGTTGTGAAACAGGCGGTGGGGCTGTGGAGTTTGAATTTCTTCCTGCTTGGCCTTCTTTCCTGTCTGCAGAAAGGGGAATAGGACAAGGAGACAGT